TGCCTGAGCCCATGGGTTTAAGAACAGTCTGGGCAACATGGAGAAACCTCTACAAAAAAATTAGCTGTGGTAGCATGTGCTTGTAGTTCTGGCTACTTGGAAGGCTGAGGTGGAAGGATTGCTGGAGCCCAGCAGGTCGATGCCCAAAGCTGGGGTGGTTGTGAGCATGCCACTGCACTCCAGCCTGAGCGATGGAGTTAGACTCCAATTCAAAATAAACAAACAGATAGCATGAAAAAAAAAAAAATAATAGCAACAATAATAACAATAATATACCAGACATACTAGCAGAATTTTTTGCCCTAGTGAAGGCTTCCAAAATACATTTTGTGTTCCTCAGCATTAGAGTCTCTCCTGTCGGAGGACAAGGCTCAACTTAACTTGCCTGGATTTGGCCAGGGTGATGGGTTCAGGGCCCCCCAAGGATGAAGCTATATCCCAAGAGTGGTGTGACCTGCATACATGCCTATGACTCTAATTTAAGTGAAATAAAGAAAGAAGTGCAGTGCCAGTACTCACTAAGCTTTGAGTTTATGTTAGCTTCTATGATGAGTTGAATTTTATTTCCCCCAAAAGGTGTGCAACCTGGCAACCCCAAATCTAGGAAGGCTTGCATGTAAGGTTCTTTACCTATTCCAAACAAGTCACCTGGAGGTCCAGCAGGGAAAGACACTAGTTTATTAGAACTTACAGGCAGCACTGATGGTGGCATGTCGGTGAAGAAAGAACCCACACTTCAGGGCAGTGCAGCAAGCAGTTTTATAGGCAATCAAGCCAATCAAATTTCTATCTGATGTTTACAATTACATTGATTACCCATGATGGCTCCATTGCTCTCAGCTTTGTTTGGTCAGCTGCACCCATGACTCATTACTGGGAATATGCATATCCTTCAGGGACCACCCTTGGCCAGGAGCTGCTCCTTGGGGGAGGGGCAGGAAGAAGCCAGACTGGGGTGGGAGGAGTCAATGTCCAGACAGTTACCTCACCAGGTGTGTTAATAAGGTCCTAGCATGTGACCTTATTAGAAAATAAAGGTCATTTTGGATAGTATTTGTTAAACTGAGAACAGACTGGAGTAGGACCTTAATCCAATACGACCAGCGCCCTTATAAAAAGAGGTGAACATTGACAGACACTCCATGAGACCATGCTCTTTGGTAAGGACAGAGATGGAAGTACTGCGGTGCAAGTCGAAGAATATCTAGGACAACTACTGCAAGCTAGGAGAGAGGCAAGGAAGGGTTCTCCTGCACGGTGTCAGAGGGACATGCCTCTGCCAATGCCTTGATTTTGGATTTCTGGCCTCCAGTATTATAAGACAACACATTGTTATTTTAAGCCATAAAATATCCGGTCCTTTGTTAGGATAGCCCTAGGAAAAAAATAAAACAGCTTCCCTCTCCATTCAATCTCCCCATCTCAGCCACGATGGGCCGCAAGCCTCTCAGCTCTGTAACCCCTTCCAGCCCTCACACTTTGATGACTCCACGTTTCTATTGTGCTGTGCACAGCTCTTCTTACATAACATGGTGGCTGTGCAGGTGCTTGTATGAGGTGTGTGCATAACTGAAAACAGAATCCTGTTTTCAGACAGCATAGGAGTTAACCACTTAAAAGAAAACAATCCTTGGAAAAAGAGAAAGCAAGTGTTGGTGAGCATGTGGTGATATTGAAACACTTTTGCTGAAGGGAACGTAGAAAGGTGCAGCTGGTTTGGAAAGCAGAGTGGAGTTTTCTCAGAAAATTATATCCAGCAATCCCACTTCTGAGTACATTTCCAGAAGAATCCAAAGCAGGATCTCAAAGGTATATTTTCATACCTATGTTCATTGTAGCACTATTCACAATTGCCAAGAGGTGGAAACAACACAAATGTTTATCAACAGATGCATGAATAAACAAAATGTGGGGTGTGTGTGTGTATACAGTATTCTTCATTCTTTAGAAAGAAAAATGTCCTATGTCAAAGCATGAATGAAACTTGATGCCATTATGCTAAATGAATAAGTCAGTCACACAAAAACAAATACTCTGACTTCACTCACACATCTAAAGGAGTCAAAATCATAGACCCAGAATAGAAAGATGGTAGCTAAGGGTTGAGGGGAGGGGATGGGGTAATTAGTGTTTAATGTGCATAGAGTATTCGTTTTGCAAGATGAAAAAATTCTAGAGATCTGTTGCACAACAATGTAAATATCGTTAACGAAAAAGAAAAACAAACTCTGTAAAGTATTTTAAAGAAGTTTATTCTGAGCCAGTATGAGTGACCATGGCCCAGGGAAAACAAATGCAAGAAACCCTCCACTAAATGGTCTCCAGATTATAGTTTGGTTTTGTGTATTTCAGGGAGGCAGGTGTTACAGGCAAAGACATAAATCAATACATGGAAGGCATACATTGGTTTAGCCCTAAAAGGCAAGATTTCTCGAAATGGGAGCTTACGAATCATAGGTGGATTGAGGGATTCTTTAACTTGCAACTGGTTAAAGGAAAAAAACTTTGTCTAAAAATTTGGTGTTAGCAGAAATGAATGTTTCAGTTAATATAAGGAAGTCTGCTAAGCATAGAGCAAGCCACAATATACTGGGTCAAAATGACCTGTTATGTCACCTACAGGTCTTGTCTTGCATGACCTTAGGTCTTGTTTATAATTTGGTATCTTATTGCCACAAAGAGTCTGTTTTGCCGGTCTCATTATCTTTATTTTTACATTAACCTTGGCTAGCTATTGTGTCTAAACTCCAAAAGGGATGGAGTATAACGAGATGTGTCCAACCACTCATTTTGTCATGGCCAGGAACTTAGTTTTTAAGGTTTGTCTGGGGTTCCTTTGGCCAAGAGGGGGTCCATTCTGTCAGTTGAAGGATTTAGGATTTTATTTTTCACTTACAATATGGCCAACACTACTGAACTACCCACGAAATAATGTTTAAGATGGTAAATTCATTTTTAAAATTTATTTAATTTAATATTTTTTGAGTCAGGGTCTCACTGTTGCCCAGACTGGAGATTCTCAGGTCTCCTCCTGCAATCAGTTGTTTCTTTGGTGGGGTGCTCCTGATTGGATTGTTTCTACTGCTGCTATGTCACAAAGGGGTAGCCTTGCTCTCTTCAGAGTCACTTAAGGCCCCGTTGGAAGATCAAGGCCCCATTAGAAGATCATGGCCATGCAGCCAGAGGGGTTAAAATGTAGGATGGAGGAGTCCAATGCAGAGGTAATTGCCTGAAAGCTCTGTCCAGGGCTGTGCAGGAAGAAGGTCAATGACCAGTGGGCATTTTATGTCTATAATTGTTGTTGTTCTGAGTCGAGGTCTTACTCTATCACCCAGGCTGGAGTGCTGTGGCATGATCACGGCTCACCACAGCCTCAAACTTCTGGGCTTAGGAATTTCTCCCGTTTCAGTCTCCTGAGTAGCTGGGACTACAGTCTTGCATCGCCACACCTAGCTAATTTTTATGATTTTTTTTTGTAGAGTTGAGGTCTCGCTATGTTGCCCAGTCTGGTCTGGAACTTCTGGGTTGAAGCAATCCTCCTGCCTTGGCTTCCTAAAGTGCTGGCATTATAGGTGTGAGCTACCATTTCCTTCCTAAAATAGTAAATTTAATGTTATTTGTATGTAATCACAATTTTAAAAACCCAAAGAAAAGAAACTTTTGAAGAGTTCCTTTGTAGAATGAAGAAATCTTTGGTAATATAATTAATCACCTTCTTGGTGTTTCCATAAGTATATCTTTGCATCTTTGTACATTGGATTTTCTTAAAGCAAAGCTTGCTTGTAATGATATGTGATGTGCAAACAGGCGATTATGATATCTCCAGATCTGCTGACCCTGGTCTACCACTTCCTTCCCACCATCTACGGCATAAAAATGTGGAACTGGGGCTCTCTGGCTAATAAGAAGCTTGAGGTACACAAAAGGGCTTCTATTAACAGCCTCTAGAGCTGAATGATTTGACAGAATTAAAGGCAGAGGGCTGGGCATTGTGGTCTTGATACAGTTTCTACATATGGTATAATAAAAGTATATATTTGACCTTTGTCCCTGGTTCTTGGCAGAGAGCTCCCAAAGCCCTTGGAATTTCCTGAGCGACAGAAGTGTCTTTTGTTGCTCATAACAAGTGCAACTGGAATACACCTGAGTTTAAGCTCAAGAGGTGACTCTTGGGAGATGGGGTCTGGTTGCTGAAGAACCAACCATAGAATTAGAGACTTGGAACTTTCAGAGTCCTAAGACACCCCCGCCCACCTCTGGGAAGGGGAGACGGGCTGGAGATTGAGTTCAACTTATGGACAATTATTTAATTCTCTCTGGACAATACTTTAATTAATCGTGCCTATGTAATGAGAGCTCCACAAACCTCCTAAACAATGGGGTTCAGAGAGCTTCGGGTTGGTGAACACATTGGGATGCTGGGAATGTGAAATGCCCAGAGGAAGTATGGAAGATCTTTGCCACCACCTCCACCCTCCAATACCTTGTTCTGTGTATTTCTTCCATTTGGTTGTTCTGGAATTGTAGTCTTTACAACAAAATTGTAATCATAAGTATTTTCCTGAGTTCTATGAGCCACTCTAGCAAATTATTGAACCCAAGGAGTGGGTTGTAGGAACCCCTGACTTATAACCAATCAGTCAGAAGTACAGGTGGCCCAAACTTGTGATTGGCATATGAAGTGAGGCAATCTTGTGGGACTGAGCCCTGACTTAACGGGATCTGATCCTAACTCCAGGTGGATAGTGTTAGAATGAGACTGAATTGTAGTGTCAGAGAATTGGGCAGTATCAAAAACAGCTCAGATTACATTTCCTCCCTTGGCCTGGCAGAATTCCATTCATGTTTCTTTCTCCTTGACTTATTCAACTCTCAGAAGAAGATGCTACCTCCCGAGAGACAAGAGGGCTCTCAACCTAGCCTGGTAGTGAGGATATCATTGGCAGTCAACATGACTCAACAGGGGCTAGTGCTTGGGCTATTGTGTGTCACACTGACCCTCACCAGCCCTGTGGTCACAGCCAACACCAGCTCTTCCTGCCTGTCAGATGCCTCATTCCCATCCGTGACACTCAGAGAGAAATTATGAGCCCTGAAAAATACCATACTGTTTTGTGATGTCACCTCTGGAATGTTCTGAGTGTTTTGGTGACCAACTTCTGCATAGGACCTATACCTGGCACCTCACATTGGTATGGCTTTTTACTGGAGATAGAAATAATTATCTTAGACAAGCTTCGGTTACCTCTGCTTCAAGGACTTTCAAGGGGCTTTTACATTAACTATAATACTCTCTTAATTTCTGTTCAGAGACTGATGAAGCATCTTGCCAGATATCACTTACACATTCTTTCAGACTCGGATTTTCATAATGTACATATTTGACAGGAGGGGCATAAAAAAGTAGAAAGTTGTGTGTTTTCCAGGTGAGAAATTGAGGCCCAAGGATGAGTTGAGAAGCAGATACCTTATCTTCTCTTTTTTTACAGCACTCAAGGCCAAATTTTACAAGAAAAAGAGATAGCAGATCTGAAAGCCTAGAGATTCCAATCAATGTTGTTCTACCTCAGGTAGGGATAATCACAGAAGGATGTAATCACAGTGTTAGTCAGAATAGCTCTCCTCAAAAAGTTTTAACAAGATGTTATAGAATGAGTACAGGAGTCAGGGCCTCAGATTCTAGTTGTGGGTTGGCTGCCAACCAGCTGTGTGCTGGGGAAGGTCACGCAGCCTTTCTGGGCCTTGATTCCCCTTCCTTGAATGAAGTGGTTGGGTTAGATAACCTGGTGAGAACTTTCAGTCCTAACATTCCAAGTTTCTATGATACGCTGAAATAATCCAACCTTCTCAAAACAAGATCTTTTGTTGCTGACTGTTTTCAACTACTTTGGATTTCCGAGGGAGGAGGTGGGGTGTGGTAATAATTAGAACTGGGTCTTGGAATCAAATGCATATGAATGAATCAGTGAGAAGAAAATCTAGTATGGGACACAGGGATGCAGAATCATTTGGAGACGCCAAGAGAATTAAGCCCCGCTATGTACCAAAGATAGTGTGTAAGGGGGATGGGCACGGGTGTTTCTGAGGCCAATTCATTGGTCCTGACAGGCTGGAGGTCTCCTCCTGCAATCAGCTGTTTCCTTGGTGGGGTCCTCTTGGTTGAATTGTTTTTACTGCTGCTATGTCACAAAGGGGTGGCCTTGCTCTCTCCAGAGTCATCTCAGATCTCATCAGAAGATCAAGGTCCTATTAGAAGACCATGGCCATGCAACCATAGGGGTTGAAATGTAGGATGGAGGAGTCCAATGCAGAGGTAACCAGGGCTCTGTCCAGGGCTGTGCAGGAGGAGGGTTGATGACCAGTGGGCACTTTATGTCTATAGTTGTCATTGTTGTTTTTGAGTTGGGGTCTCACTCTGTTACCCTGGCTGGAGTGCAGTGGCATGATCACGGCTCACCACAGCCTTGACCTCCTGGGCTCAGGCAATCTCCCACCTCAGCCTCCCAAGTAGCTGGAACTACAGGTGCTCAGCACCATGCTTGGCTAATTTTTAATTTATTTATTTTGGTAAAGATGAGGTTTCACTATGTTTCCCAGGCTAGTCTTGAACTCCTGGACTGAAACAATCCTCCTGCCTTGGCCTCCTAAAGTGCTGGGATTACAGGCGTGAATCACCACACCTAGCCTATTATATAATTGTAGGCAGTTATGTTCAACAGGTGGCAAAAAAAAAAAAGGAAACAAGAAAACATTCTGAACATTTGTTTTCACATTATTATTATAACTATGTAATGAGCAGTCACCTTTCTATACATTGCAGCTAATGAATCTTAGCCAGATATAAGATAACTTTCTCCTGATCGTTCAACAGAATGACAACAAGCTGTAGGAATCCCTACAGGTCTGATTCTTTCTACTTGAAATACATATGGAGTTCTGTGGACCATACTGCCCTGAGGATGGGGGTTGCTGCTTTGGTTTCCTTTACAGCCCACATAAACCAATCTTTACATGGCTAAGGAACAGGTAGAGGATGCCAACCTGGGGGTAAGCATGAGGACAGGAATGGGATGTGAAAGAGTAGTGGCTGGGTGATAGAGATTGGAAAGATTCCTCCATCACAGCCAGCACAACTCCTCCTACCCAGCTCCCAGAAAGAGTCCAAAAGTCAAGGAGGAGACAAGGTGGCATAAGACAGTGGAGCTTGTTCTGTAACCGCCCACTTCCTGTGCTGGAGGACCTGGTGCTGCTGCTGTGTTTTGGAGGGCAGGGTGGAAGGAGAAGATATCTGCCCTGTGCCCCAGGCACGCACCAGGTTTTGGACACCTGCCAGGATGCTCAAGACGAGCTCTTGTGGGGAGGATCATGGGTGTCTAGAGCTAGGTGATACGAACCTAGCCACCACCGGGGCCGTGGGAAGGATGAAGGTGCTCTCTCTGCCTCCCAAATGAGATGGCACATGGCTTGGGGGAAAGGATTGATCTGGGAAGCAAGCAGGGGAGGGAATATTGACTGAACACTGATGGGACCATGTGGTGGGCACAGGGCCATGCGAGTGTGAAGTAGAGATTTTACAGGTATGGGAACTGGGAACTAAAGCAACCCCACTAGTGGTGGCAGAGCTGGAGGAAGGAGCTTTGACCCAGATCCCCACCCATGCGCTCTGCTATGCCACGAGCTGGGCACATGCCTCTTGGCTGGTCCAGATCACATCTTAGCTCTGTGATTCTTCTCTAGCTATTAGGAGATGGTGCCTCCTCTCCCCCATTTTAACTGCTCATCCTTGAGCTCTCTGTATGCCTCTGCCACATGCTGCTTTATTCTGTAATGGAGTTCATTTTAGAAGGGACTTGCAGCGGCCGCTCTTTTTCCAGAAAGTGTCTCTGGCACCTGTCTCCCAGTCCCTCCATGCTTCGGGCTCCTCAGTTACACTGCAAAGGCCTGTGATTCACTACTTGTTATCACCCTTAGGTCTTTTCGGGTCTTATTGATTTCCCCTTTTTCTTAGTCGCATTAAATATTTGTGTTTTCTGATCTATTTCCCTCCAGTGCATTAACTTGCAAGCCATCAATGTTATTTCCTGTTCCTTTTGTACATAATGATGGAGTTCTCCCAGGCATCCGCATTTCCCCAATGAGCGTGCTCTGTGAATTTCATTAAGGCATTGTTTACTCCTAGGTCATTAAGAAGGAGCTGCACCAGATCAGAACACGCTCCCATAGCCCCCTCCAGTGCCACCGTCACCCCTCCCTGCTGCCTTTTCTCCTTCCCCTTTGTCTGGGTTTGTTGCTCAGAAGCGGTGGAATCTTACTGATGGTACCCCACCTCTGTCAAGTGGAATCACAAGTCAGAGGAAGATTTCAGGAGATTCTGTTAAACAATTGTCTAAAACTACCACAGATGACATCTCCGTTATCCTCTTTGCTGTTAACGTTGTATTTCTACCAAAATGAATCACATTTACCTTGTGAACTATCCTTTTACCTGTGAGCATCTATTAAAACAAACATTGGCTTGGTCGTGTTGCTAGGGAGCTGAGTTAATTTAAAATGATGGCAGTGAGACTCAGTTTTGCCGTTTCATCTGGAAATCAGCATACTTAGCTTTTCATTCTGGGATCCTAGGGCGTCTCAGCTTCACACGGCCTAAATGTACCTCAGATGGCTGTGTGTTCTCTGATAGCACTACCCGGTACTCAGTAATGTTGACAAAATTGGTATTTAAAAAACTTGGTCAGCGAGCTTGGACTCTGCCGGAAATGTTTGGACTTCTCTTCTGGACTGTAGTAGCTACATTTTTCTGGGAGTGGAGAGAACGTCAGTGCACAACAGCTAAGCCCAGCTATTCATTGTTCAGTCTTGTCCCCACACTCTTTGGATGGGAAGCCCCAGCCCCAGTAAATCCACCCCAAAAGGCCTCATCCAAAGGGTCCTTCTTCTTAAGAGTCCTGCAACATCGGCAAGGGAATTTGGTCCTATCACCTCCCCTGTGCCCTGTGGTCTTTGCCCTTTGCCTCCCCTTTTTTTTTTGAGTTGGAGTCTCACTCCTTCGTCCAGACTGGGGTGCAGTGGCCGCTCCCGGTCACCGCAGCCTCTATCTGCTGGGCTCTGGCGATTCTTTCGCCTCAGCCTTCCAAGTAGCTGGAACTACAGGCGCGCGCTACCAAGCTGGCTAATTTTTGATTTATTGTACAGATGAGTTCTCACCAAGTTGCCAGGTGGGTCTCGAACCCGCAGGCTCAGGCAATCCACTCACCTCAGCCTCCCAAAGCACAGGATTACAGGCTGAACCACCGAGCCCGGTTTGCCTCCCTTTTTTCAATTGTCTGCTCTTCCATGTTCTTGGTGGCAAGTGATCTGACCAGAGGCATAGGGTTGTTGGTGATCTCAAGGCTTTTCCTCCCAGGACCACTCATATTTAAGAAGGAGACGCCAGGGAACGGGCCAGGCCTAATGCTAAGGAAGAATTCCAACCCACAGATGGGATTTGAGTATCCACGAGGATGATATGCGTGCCCAGGGCCCTTCCTGGACCACCAACCCTAATGTGTCATTTGGTCACAGCAATAAGCACATTGCTCCTGAGGACAGTTTCTTGGTTGCTTTTCTAAGAACACCTGGTGGAAGGATATGATGGTCCCACAGTCAGTTATATTTTCTTTGGCATCAACTTCCTATCCCATCCTTTCATGAAAAAGCCAGTCTTTTTCTCTCTTACTTCCTGGATCTATATCCCTTTATGAGGGCATTTCTCAGAGGGCAGGAGAGAGACAGTTCTTTCTACCAGAGGCTTTACTTCCCAGGCTTTGGAGAAACTTTCTGGGTTGCTCCAGGGGCTTTTCATTGGCAGAGCTCTTATCAGGCTAAAGGATGTCAGGGCAGATTAGCTCAGCCCATGAAACCAACCCAGTAATACCACTGGTTGAGGAGTCCTTCAGAGAGGGAACTGGTTTCAAACATAGGCTGAGGAGGCCTGGGGTCCTATACCTGCCTGTGTGTGCTCAGCTCGGATACTTGCTTTTTGAACAGCCCTTTTGTAAAGAAATATATTCTACATTTGCTATGGTGGTTTAGACCAGGAATGTTTAAATCTTACCAGTAGAACTAGATGTTGGTCATTTTATTTAAAAAAAAAATTTTTTTTTTTAAATTTTGAGTCAAGGTCTCACTCTGTTGCCCAGGCTGGAGTGCAGTAGCATGGTCATGGCTCACCACAACCTCGATCCCTTGGGCTTAGGTGATTCTTCCACCTTATTCCAGAGCAGCTGGGACTACAGGTGTGCACCACTATGGCTGGCTAATTTTTAAAACAAAATTTTGTAGAGACGAGGTCTCACTATGTTACCTAAGCCAGTCTTGAACTCCTGGGCTCAAGCAATCCTCCCGCTTTGGCCTCCCAAAGTGCTGAGATTACAGGCATGAGCCACCACGCTGGGCCATCTGTTGGTCTTTATGACAGGTTGCCTACCACTTTCTTGCCCTCTTGACGACCCCAGGAAGTAGGCAGCTATGTTTGGGCTCATTTTAGAGGTGACATTTAGAGAAGTGAAGTGACTTTCTCAAGATCAGA